GCGAATGACGGCGAACGTGGAGAAAACGTGTCTTCAGCACGCTGCCGCCAGCCTCTGCAAGGCTAGCAAAACCGCAATTTGCCTACGAGCAAGATGGCCGTCTGGTAGCTTCACTCTTGCCAATATTACTTTGACTCCCGCTGTAGCGGCCATGCGGGGATGCGCGATCCAGCAATTGTCATAGAGATCAGCGAGAGTAGTGAGCAGAACGAATCGAACCACAGTGGACAGGAGTGGACCGGCGCGGGCAGAGCCAGGGCATGCACCAGACGCAGAAAGAGGGCTTGACATGCTCTCTCGGCCAACCAGGGCCAACCAGAAGCAGAAAAGAATCCTCTAGCGGTGGTAGCGAGAAACAGTTTTAATCGTTTTAATATGCGCGTAGGAGTTAAATGTAGTAACCCTCCATTGTTGAAAATAGGGTGCACGTGATGTTTCAATCATGGTCACGAAGAAGGATGTAAGAAACGGAATGTTCCGCTCGAACTTTGTTTTGCTCGAACAAAGTGTGACCGCTTGGACGGCAGATTCTCGGCCCTCGGCGTCTGGCGTACGGATTATGTCGATCGTTCCGCTAGTCGCATTCTTCCACCATGATTTTGGATGACCGTGATTCAAACATCACGTGCAGCATATTTTCAGCCACCAAGAGTTACTCCGACGCACTTATTAAGTTTGTTTCTCGCGACCACCGCCAGGGTGTTATTTCCGGCTTCTGGTTGGCCACATTCGAATTTGTGAACATGCCCAGCCCGTTTTTTGCCAATGGTGCCTCCTCATTTGTCTCCCATACTTCCCAACGAATGACCAAACTCTCTACATGTACGGCTCTGGACCGAACCGCCGAAAAAACTAGGGATCGCGAACCGGTCGAGGTTCAAGTTCGGCCAGGTTCGACCTTTCGAACTTCTTATGAAAAGTTTCACAAAGGTTTGACTCAGGTTCGACTGCTATGCGCATGCGCGATAGGCTAGCCAGTTGGCTTCGGATTGGATGGTGATGGCTAAGGGATGAATTAAGGATAGAACTGATTGGTTACTTCAGTTAACACAGTATAAAAATTAAAATAACCCTTTGCATAAAAAAAAATCTCCCAATTTAGATATGCTTGTATCAAGGTCTGGCCACACTGTTCACCAAGTGGAACCGGCCTAATCTGGTTAGGAGTCCGAAGGTTCGTCGAACGGGTTCGAACCAGTCGAACCGCGAAAGTTCGACTTAAAAATCCGTTTTGACAAAAGTCAGCAGCGACACCCCTAGAAAAAACCGTGTACAAATCACAACCGACTGTATAATGGGCGACCTCCGCAATTACTGCGTTTCACTGCACAGCGCGCGGCTTTTAAAACGAGCTACAGCTCTGAACGGGCCGAGTAAAGGCCCGTTCACACTCTTGCGACCGAGTAAGACCGAGAAAGACCAGACCGGTTTTTAAAGGTGTACTCCGCCGATTTCTTCCTGGTCCCCGATTTGCTTTAAATTTTGCTAAACTCGCCAAACAACATCGCCAAAATAGTATCCCAAATATTAGGTCAAAATAATTTTTTTTCACGAAGTTATTGAATTTAAAATTTTGGTCCTCACCGTGTTTTTCAAACTGAAAGTCTCTACTGGCAACAATGAAAAAGTGACGTCATTGGAAGTGCAGGGGTTCACTCTTTGGACTGTAGAATTTGTTCCCAACTGATTTGAAGCAGTTTCATGGTGTCAAATGAATGCCTTGGAAGCTCGCTCCAGTCCCCGCGCTCCAGCACGGAACAAATAATTGGCATATTCTATTTTTTAGACTACTCGCCCGACTGGCAAGCTGAACTTCCAGTGACGTCACGGCCCTGAAAAGGGCGGGTAAATTTGAATGTCTGTTTTTGCATCATTTTCATTTGCCGATTTCGCAATAACTATTATGAATTTCACGATATTAAATAGCATTCCAGAAAGGGTAAAGGCCTGGGAGTCAGAAAATATAGTTAGTTGAGGTAGCTCAAAAATCGGCGGAGTACACCTTTAAGCCTCTCGCGATGCCTTTGGACCAGCTCCGCTGCAGCGCATCCGGTCCTAAGAAGTCGCTAAAGGCTTAAAAACCGGTCTGGTCTCTCTCGGGCAGGAGTGTGAACGGGCCTTTACGCTTCAAAGCTCCATGCGGGTTTGGCCAGCTCGGCTAAAGTGAAGTTGGACGGCTCGACTTCGATAAAGAACGGCAGGGAGGAATTGGGGTTGTGTGTTTATACAGCCTAGAACTTGGTCTCCCTCAACGGGCCACGAGTCAGCTGTAGATGAGAAGTTTAGCCAGTGCAGTACAACCGCTAGCATCGCTGGATTAAGGGGGAAGGGGGGGGGGAGGGGGTTAAGGAGGCTGCAGCCCAGGGCCTCAGCCCTAAGAGCAGAGGAAGGAAGCCCCCTGGCCTTGGCGTATTCTTTTTTGTTTTTTAAATTATTATTTCTGGATAACAATTTCGGAGGGGGCAGAGGAAAAGTCGGGAAGCTTGACAGCGTCCTGCCCCCTTCAGTTCAATGTAACTCCAGATAATAGAACTTCAAGCAGCGGGAGAAGTCGGGGCCCCCGCCTGATGTCGCTTCCTGCAGCTTGTTTACTTCGAGTGACCTTGTCAGCACTTACAGAAGCGAGGCCTCCGCATCTTAGGGGGGTCCCCCGTCCTGGAGGCACTCTACCCCGTCCCACTATGAAGTCCGTGCTTGCTGGTGGATTGTCGCGGAGCCTTTTGTGGTTGTTCGTAAAAGTCCCTGATTACCCCCTCGTCTCGACGGGAGCGGAAAGCGCTCCGGCGGCGCCACCGATAGACGCAGTGCCGGCTTTACACCATCAAGGGCCCTCGGCAAACTCCGACCGTGGCGCCCCCCCCCCCCCTCCCTCTTTATACGCCCCTAGCTATCGACATCACGCTGTTAGTAAACATGTGAGTATGGCCCACGGTGGTATGGCCCAACACGAGCATTTTGTCAAACGAGAACCGCATTCCAAAAACGAACGGCGATCAAGCATATAGCGTCTTGTCGGGCGCCATATTCCAATAAATAAATAATAAATAAAAATAAAAACGTTCAAAAGGGAGGCGCGGCGGCGCCCCCCTTTTGATTGCGCCCTGGCAGTGTTGTGCCCGTTACCGAAAATAAGTAACGAAATAGCGCTACTCGTTAGCTTGGAAACAAGCTACTCGTTACAGAGCTCCGTTACCATTTTGCAAATGTAACGAAATACTGGTGTCGTTACTTGCCATGACGAACGGACGTTACTTTTACGTTATAGTTTGTCGTCACTTTCTGTTTCACTGTTAGCTATGACAGCTGTTAGTAAATGACTGTAGAGTCTCAACTGCAAACGTCTCCACAAGATTGTCGAAGACTTCTTGAGAAACAGGAGTTTGATGCACACCGTCGATCTTCCTCTTCATTAGCTTATTGCCCCTATATTTCTTTATTTCTTTATCCGGCCCTGTTCCTTTGAATTCGTTTTCATGTATTTCGCAGAATGAGACTTTCACCGACGATGCGCGGGTCGTCACAATATTTAAATCAAGCGACCACATTTTTGCTTTACCAAGACCTTTTTTATAAATAGAAACTGATGCTTCATAGAAACATCCCAGCAGCCATAGATGAAGAGGGGACCAAGTTGTTTATTGGTGATTAATTCCAGAGAGAGCGAGGAATTGTCCGTGGGACAGCTCGAACTGCCAGTCCTGAAGAGAGTGCACTTAGGTCGTGGAGACGAACGAGGGTGGTTAGTACCTTTACGCGCCCTTTTTGAGAGTGTGCTCGCCTGTGCTTTTGTGTGCGCGTGTGTAGTTTGTAGTTCACTTGCTTGCCGTCAGGAGCGCAACCACCTCACCCCACTTCACCCCACACGGAGAGTCCCTTCGAGCAGCTTTGCGCTGATGTTCGAGCTTCGTAGGATGTTTCGGCAACGGTTTATTGAACTTCGCTCCGATTTAAATCACTCTACCGGCAGGCAGTGTCGTCAGCAAAATGCGTTCCTCTGTGACATGGACGGGACCTCTGTACTTGTACTCTGTACTCATTGCACCCTATTTTGAAGGCGCGCCAATCTTATAAGTCGCCCAGAGGGCATTGACAACAGTCACTTAAAGCGCTTGGCTGGTTTAATCTGCAACAAGTTCCTCAGAATACTTCTGATTAATCATGCAAAGACAGTCACGGACAGAAATGAAAGATCAGCTGGATATGTGCACAAGCCCCCGAGGAAGTACTTTAGGCAGTAATATGCACTGTGCGAAAATTGTACAGACTACTACACCCTCGTCTAGAACAGCTGACCGACTTCATGTGCGGCCTATGAAATGATCATGCAGACCACGGCAATAGATAGATTGGGCCTGCTTACATTTCACGAGAGTGTACGAATTACTTATCACTTAAAGTTCCTCCACGTAGAAGGGGTCCGTCTACTCCTGTTCTTGAGTTGCAACAGAAGTCCTGGAGGTAAAGACGAATATAGTTTTTTTCGCAATTGCATTCGCTGTCTATACTTACCACTTTTTACTCCTGAATCTCTCGGAAATGTGCGTCACATATTCACCGTTTTTGGCTCATCAGAAGCGCATTAGATAGTGGCTAAGGGTTTAAACGTAAGGATCAGGTGTCATAAGCTGTAAAAATCTCGGCGGCAAGTTTCGACAGCGCTGAGATACACTGTCAGACGCGCTCTGTGCACACGGCAAAGGGTAGCCCAGGGGTGAGGTGACAGCGCCCCCCGCGAATTGCGGCGGGAGGTGGCGATTGCCCCAATTGCAAGGGCCGTAAGAAGAGAAAGAGAGCGAACGCTTCCAGTCCGGCCGTGGCTGTATTCGTATTTTCGATTCTTCCTTAAACAATTTGGCTTACAATATGACACCGGGTGACTGAACTTCGCGGTGCGAGGTAACGATGATGCAACACTTCAGGATGATTTTGACCCCGGAAGAGCACCGCTTTTGCCTCAGAAGCCTCATCGAGCATTCTTACACAATAAACACAATTGTTGCTTGATAATGACTTGATTTATTACTGAAAAAGAAATATTGGAACTCAGTACGTCGATGAAAGAATTATACATTATTTTTGCATGAATTTTCAATTTAAATCAACAAAAGCGGTGGGGTTTGAATTGCGGTTGATGTAATAATACACCACATTTTAAACCATCACGAACTTTTTTAAACCTGCATTAACACCGTCTAGCTCTATTCAGCGATACGTAAAACTGCAGCGTTCACTAATCAGATCGATTTGGAAGGGGACGTATAAAGCAAACTTTCGTGTAGGCGGCGTCTTTTTTCTTTTAATTTATCTTTCTTTTTTTAAAGAAGCGGGTTTACTATTACTCAGCCTCAAGGAACAGGTGTAGTGTGTCGTTCCTAACAAACCCATACTTTTCTATATACTCCAGGTTTTTCAAAGCCAAGCATACAAAACTTTCTTTGGAATTTCGCTGTGGTCTCAAGAACGCGCGATCACCTTTGCTCACACTCGCATTAGCCCTTCGAAAAATGCTCTTTTTCTTGTCCGTTCCGTGAATGACTCCGACCCTGACCGTCTTCCGGAACGGCCATTCAAGGCTTGAATCGTAGGCTCCAGGATAGACATTTAACTCAAAGAGGAATTGAATGTAACCATGCATCCCCCGCTCAAGATGGCAGACGATGGATACGTTGTATCCACTCACGTACTGCAGGGGGCTTTCAGATTCCGCCCTTCCTTTCTCGGTTGCTTGTTTCCTCAGAGCAGCGAATCCCTTTAGGTACCAGTGGAATTCCTTTCCTTGGTGGTCAGGAGACACGTCCAGGAACGCACTCTCTGTGCCATTAAGCGGGCATTCGACGTGCGTCCTCATGCCCCCGGCCCGGCACCCCTTCTCTAATTTGCCGGCGTCACCAGCGACCTCACTCAGTCCGACCTCTGCAAGAATAGGAGCTTCAATGTGCAATCTGAACAAATGTTCAAGAAGTGTCGCAGACTGAACTTCCAGCTGCTCTTTGGACCTCCTTTCAGCCTCCCTGACGTCCTCCCGGCATTGGTTGAGGCTGGTGTGCAGACAAGAAAGGTCGTCAGAGAGCTTGTCCAACGCTTCTTTGATTTCATTACTTGTCTGCTCGATACGGTCGTAACCCAGGTTGGCGCGGTCTGTGTTCACTACGGGCCCAACGGCGGGGAGTTGGCAACCATGTTTACAGTGTCCCACAATCTCGCTCCTCAGCACGGACGAGGAACACCTAGGGCAAGACACGACGTGGAAAGCACACTCAGTGAAGTGCTTTAGGAGACTGTGAACGGGACCCAGGAAGCTGCAGCCATTGGGATTGTTCCAGCAGGCCACCTTGGAAAAGAATGCGTCGAAAAAACACGTGTTAGGTCAAGTTGTGGCAAGAATGCACAAACAAGGCTGTCAATCCATAGTACTCAAAAACATTGGGAATGCTCAAAATGTTATGCGACATTGGCTCAGAAGGTTTGGAAGAATGCCAATGTGTTAAGCACCGCGACGTATTCTATACCTCAAATCAATGTCAATATATGTTTTCAACAGCAAGACATATGTCATAGGTGCCCGAGGCAAAATCTTACCAATCAGGTTGTTTTACTCCTTTTTTATTTTTGATAACTGATTTATAGACTAAAATATGTTTTACCTATTACAGTTGTGTTACTATTATACTTACTATGGATCTTGCTTATAAAGATGGCACATTTATTGCCCGATAGATGAAGCTTCCAGACATCACTCCTAAGTGAAAAGCCCAACATACTTCTGATACTCTTCGGAAGAAATCAGTACGGATGCATCCTTTGTACATTTTTTTAAAAATCTTAAATTAACCAATCTTGAGTATACTGGCCAGATACTAATGCCACATTTTAACTGTTCTTACCGTGACATTTAGGCACTTGCACTTACTCCAGATATATTTTAAGTCATACTTTGGCTGTGCGTTCTAGATAATTCCAGTCATCTATAAATACGTGATTTCAAAACAATAAACGTGCTGTTAAAGCATGCATAAATTCACAGTATCCGAAAATCCAAAGTGAAGGTGCAGTAATCACATCAAATGAAAAGTGAAAACTCATGTAGTATAAATTCCTATCACTGGGACATGGACCCATGTCCTCTTTATTAGTGGGAATCAAGAGAAGCTTCTGTTACTGCTGGAAATTTGTTTTGGTGAAGTTTTATTTTAATGTTCTAAATAACATGATTTCGTGGACGAAACACTGGAATTGGCAATCTCGGAAGCTGCGTAAAATTCGATTGATGCCGTTGATGCTCAGTATAGCACAGATGTATGTGTGCAAGTCGACGGGTTTTAATCGAGGTAAAATCAGAGCAGCGAAATTTATATCACACATTAATGTAATGTCAAGACCATACTATATTACTCTACTGTCCTTCATATTCAGAAGTCAGGGCATAGCTGAAGCTATAAGCGCGGGGATGTTGGCTTGAACCTGTCTGGTACAGCGCTCATCACATGGAAACAAATTCCTTGTGGTCGATTACTTTCTGGAGTAACTTTGTTATTATTTCATTACTACTCATAAGTAGAAATCACAGCAGTAACTGGATTATCCCCCCCCCCCCCGTCTACTATATTATAGAACTATATTTGCTGCGATATGTACTCTTTATAACATTGTAAATCTTGGAAACAACGAAAAATAAAAACATTGTTACCCATCTATACGGAAGGAGGGCATGCTCTTTGTCTGCTCAGTTTGTTGTGGTTTGTTTGGTTCCAATCTGGGGCTGTGATGTCTGATTTCTTTACCGAAGCCTTGTCGTACGGTGATCCCAAGGTAACCAAAATCAGATGTCAAAGACAACGTATGACAAAACAGGTAACCTCTTTGTTAGATGTAATATAAGCTGTTGGCCTCACACAAGAATGCACCATTTGCTGTATTCAAGTTTTCAGGTTTTTTTGTGCTTTTTTTTTTTGCGTGTGTGTGTGTTGGTAAAGTTTCGTGGGCATGGCGCAAGTCCTTCGAGCAGCGAAGCTAGATCCGGTTTGCTCACTTAGCTACTCTGACCCAGGCTAACCTCACAAAACATTGTTTGTTTGTTTTTTTGCACATTGTAGCACATATTTTGTCCCAAGTTTCTATGAGGAAGTCTTTCCCCTCTTTTTTCTAATGGTGCCCTTTGTTTTCATAATGTTCCTTACCAAAAGATATTTGAACAAAGCCTCCGAGAGGGAGGTGGTCTACAAAAAGGGGCAAAAAGGGGTAGATTGAAAAGATGAGTAGATCATAATCCCGTGATTCTAATCCAATTATCGACAGCGTGCATGTTATAAACCAGCAGAAAAGTTTGTTTTTAAATTTAAAATCTGAAATTATCGGAAAACTAACGGTCAAATAATATGATTTATTATTCTTGTTGTTACGTATAATCTAATTATACTTTTCAACCGGGAGTATTTCTAACTATAATTGATTACGATTTTGTTTTAGCAATGCGTTCAAGACCTACTTGAACGGAACTTTCACTGGTGCAAGTTCGCCTGCAAGGCATGATACCGAGAGATGGCTTGGAACTCACTGTCGTACCTTTTGCCTTGCTCGTACCTCTGGTGAAACCAAAATTTAAGTTTGAAGATCCAATACAGTTTCTACTGGGATATAAACGGCAAAAACCTTAGCACTTTTGCACCAATGGTAAAATTGCCTCTCGATGCAATGATGCCAGTCAAGATATAGTGACTTCCTCTTGCTTATCTCGTAATGATCCACACAATAAGTCTGATCTCAGCGCTCACCTGGCGTTTTTCGAGGAACAAACGACAAAAAACCTTAGCACTTTTGCACCAATGGTCAAGTTGCCTCTCGATGCAATGATCCTGCAGTCTTGCTTATCTTGTTATGATCCACACAACAAGTCTGATCTCAGCGCTCACCTGGCGTTTTTCGAGGAATCTCTTCGGAATGTCGTTTCGGGCGCAGTCATTCTCGCCGAAGGATTCCTCGTCGATGGGGCAGGTACTCCCTTCCCGGGAGCACTCCTCGTGGCACTCGTAGCACAGCGTGTGGCCACAGGACAGCCTCATGGCTTTGAGGGACACGAGTCCGCACAATGCGCATGCGCTGTGAGTGATGGCGGGCTCCTGGAAGAGAATGGGCCTCCAGTCCAGGGCATCGGAGAATCCGGACACGCAGAAGGACCTCATCTTGGATAAGCCACCGTCGAGCTGGGCCTCAAGTCTCTCTTCAATTAGTTGGGGCGCACCTGCGGAATGGGAGGTTCTCGTTATATCGATATATATTTAAATCTATTTATTTTCTTGCCCTCAGTTCAAGAGGCTTCACAGAATGGAGTGGGTCACATAAATAAAACACGTTAAAATACAGCAACATACATAAAAAAACTTTAAGTGAAACGTTCTAGCATCACGTGACACCAGGTCACGTGACGTCAATTTACACGCTAAACTTAGCGGGAAAACTGAATTCATGTGTAGGTCAGGTGACATTCATTTTCCCCGCTTAATTTAGAGAAACTAAATTGCCGTACAGGTCGTTACATCAGGTCACGTGACGTTAATTTCCCCGCTAAATTTAGCGGGGAAACTGAATTGGTGTGTAGGTCACGGGACGCTAGTTTCCCTGGCAAATTTAGCGGAGAAATTGACATCACTTGACCTGGTGTCACGCGACCTATACAACAATTCAACTTCCCCACTAAATTTAGCGGAGAAACTGAATTAGTGAGTAGGTCTGTGACGTCCCATAATGCAACACTGCGCGCGTTGCATTATGGGACGTAAGGACATATATACCAATTCAACTTCCCCTCTAGATTTAACGGAGAAACTGAATTGGTGTGTAGGTCTGTGGCGCCCCATAATGCAACACTGCGAGTGTTGCATTATGAGACGTCACAGGCCATGGCTTCACGAAATCCGGAGCAGCTAACCAAATAACCTTTAACGTTAAGGTCCCTTGACACAAAATAATTAGTAACGACAGATCGAAAATTATCTTTAGCGGGAATTTTCGAAATAGCTCGCGGCAGGTGGTTTTACATCGGTGACGTGTTGGAATGAATAATTGGTCATAAAATTTATTCGTTTGACAGGACGATCTGCCGACTTTATTAATATTATCATTATGCATTCTTATTTTATTTCTCTTTTTGGTTTTACAGAAAGTAGGAAGCCACGACAAAAGCTGCTGTTGCAGCTTGATTATGTCCTATCTTCCTGACACACGTCGACAAAAAAAGCAACATTAAAAGAAGAACTATGATGAAACCAATACACAATTACTACACAACTGCTTACATTATTGCGCTAATGGATACTTGCGGGAAGTAAAACAGAAACACAAGCACAACAACTCATCACTTTTCGATGCCTGCTAAAAAGTAAGACGGTTGTTAGTAGCCTTATATTAAGAATTGAAATATTTTTGTACGTTGTGAAATAAATAAATTTAGTACGTTTATCATCATCAGGGACATTAATTTTCAATGCGATGTGAAGCAAAGACTCTTCGGTTAAAAATGTCAAATAAGATATGTGAATGACGAGTTGGTCAACAAAATATAACATATTTGAGGGTGTTGAATAATATCGCATGTGTTGCGCTACAAGGTGCGAAAATTTTAAATCAGCACACACATTCAAAAAAATATAGCTGCAATCGGTGGAAAAAGAGCTAGAGTAAGGAGATGCACTTGACCATACAGTATTTGGATAATTGAAGCTTCCTAGAAGCAGAATTGAGACGTTTGGGAAACATGCGGTAACTCTTATTAGCATCACACAAATCTTCAACAAAGCTTGCACTAAGCGATGGCCAACAATAGCACACACTAAGATCAGTCTTTTGCATGCAGCGCAAACTTCAACATAAACGAGTTCTACAGGGTGATTCAAGGAGACGCTAGGCTCTTTAAATCGACCGCGAAATTCGGTTTCTTAACCTATCGCGCTACGACTTTGTGCAGCGTTGCCCACAGATGGTGCATTTTGTTTGTAAAATTTGCAAAGAGCGAACTTACCTGAGGAAAAAGTAAAGAAAGAAAAAGGCTTAGCTCCTATGGAAACGCAGCGACGCCACCGGTCTTCAAACAACACGGCGCCGTTTCGCACAAGAGACAAGAAATGGCGCAACGAACGCCAGCTGACGAACGAGCATACGGCGCCGAGAGCCGGCGACTTTAGCAGACAATCTTTTCGACTCAAAAGCGGCGCGCGTTCCGCAGGCGGCGACAGTCGCAAAAACAAAAAAAGGCGCGGTATCAACAAGGAACTGCAGTTCCTTGTCTGCTAAAGACGTCGGCTCTCGGCGTCGTCTGCTCGTTCGTTGGCGGCAGTTGGCGTCGCGACCACTTGCGCATCTCTTGTCTCCCGTGCGAAACGGCGCCATGTTGTTTGAAGACCGGTGGTTTCGCTGCGTTTCCATAAGAGCTAAGCCTTTTTCTTTCTTTACTTTTTACTTAGGTAGGTTCGCTCTTCGCAAATTTTACAAAAAAAAAAATCACCCTCTGTGGGCAACGCTGCACAAATCGTAGCGCGATAGGTTAAGAAACCGAATTTTGCGGTCGATATAAAGAGCCTGGCATCTCCTTGAATCACCCTGTGCATTAGTTATGACATCAATATAACAAGTAGAGTGAAATCTCCCGACTCGCCAAGAAACAAAAAACATGTATATCGACGGATTGAATGTTCTTATTAAATAACCTTACATTTTTATCTGTCTAAGGGTTCAATTGCATTACATAATATATCGTAATCCTGCTGATAAAGTCGGGAGGCTCGCACGGAAAATGCAGCGTGACTTCAGCTGCTTCCACTTTTTGGGAAACAAAGGTTTTGCGGCAGCACGAATACCTTAGAAGTAACTGCTACCCTGCTAAGAAAAGCCGCGGGAGTATGGTATCGAATTACTGAGTTAGAAGACACTGCTTTGCGTCTCACTGAGGGACACAGTCATTAGCAAACAAACTTGATCGTGATATATTATCTCCGTTACAGCAGTTACTGACGCTCAAAGCTTGGAAGTAACGGCAGTAAAGACCCTTCCGAAAGGCAGAACGTCGCTAGGAGACGAAAAAATATCAAGCAACCGACGCTTCACACAACGGTTATTCACACAACACCATGTTTGTTCAACAGGAAAGCGGAATGTCGCACACAATGCTGGTTTTGTACTCCAAAACCTTGTTCCGGTGCTTCTTGACACTGTGCAAGTGCCTTACGCTTGCAGTTTTTACTTTGACTCGGTCTTTTGCCACTTGTAGCGCGCAATGAACCAACTAGACCAATTCACAATTTTGTTGCACTTTAGGTGATTATTACTGTATTTGTAACGTGCATAATCCATTCTTATCTCGAGCCGGCCCCAGCCATTTGTTTCCATGTGAGCGGAATAAAAGCTTTGTGATCTCATGAGCGCGCCGGTCGGTTAAGTGGCATAAACCCCTCTTTAACTGGCGAATAAAACGCAACCAGTTCTAGTATCAAGCAGGCCCTGACCATCCAATCCCTTATTTGTTCCAGCGGCAGTAGTCGTTTTAGTAGCGAGTTTTAGTAGACCGTGTTTCCTCCTCCGCTAAGCCCCTCCGCTACCCGGAACGCTACAGCCAATGCCCTCGGCGCGCAGGCGCAGTGGCGGTTTCTTCGTAGCGGAGGGTTAGCGGAGGGGGAAACACGGTCTACTAGAACTCCCTATTATTGTGGCTAGAAGGGGAAGGATGACGGGCGCCGTATCGCGACGCAAATTATTAGAGAGCCTAGATTGAAGAGAGGGTCCATCTCAGGCCACGGGGATAGTTTGCAATTTAATGGCGGTCACCTCCTGCGGCTATCGGTCGCAAGTGCGGACGCGCTGCGTTTTCGGGAGGCGAAGAGGGAAGCATCAGGAATAGAGGAGACTTTTGCAGACGATGAGCGCTTTTGTCACCTACGTCCAGTTCGTATCGGAAATGCGCCCCATAAACCACGTGACTCCGATCGCGCAGTTGGAAGTCTCTGTAATATAGGCTCTCTAAAAATTTGGGGGACTACTGACTCGCCTGCTGGCTCCAGCGCGCCTTGCGGTCACACAACTTTTCATCGCGGAATTCGCATCGCGGAATTCAGGCACAACCAAATACACGGGTGAAACGTGCGCGATTCATGTCACAGAAAACACAGTCTGACATGGTGCCGTATCCAGGGGCGCAAGTTCCGATGAAAATCTTCGCCACCGCGAGAGGCAGTGCAGTCTGCGCGCGAGTCGTTTTCATCGCGAATTCTGTGCAGCCCTTCGTTCCTGCACGTCACACTTGTCCTTCCAGCCACAATTGTTTTATCCTCCTGAGCAGATTGCCACGAGACGAGAGGAAAAGCAGGACCGTGCTTAAAAACGACGTCGTGGCAACTTCAACTATGAAACGACCGCAGGACAAAACGATTGCCAATCGCTGAAACGTCGTTCAGTGTAAAGACCTGTCACATAGGAAGGGTAACATCACCAAGCGCTTACCCAAGATCGGTAACCGGTGGATCCGTTAAGCGAGAGCTCATTTGCAACCGAGTTCGAAGTTCCGCAGAACGGAAGACTTTGCAGCTTGGCGCGACACGTTCATTTGAGATCGCAGGAACTTAGTGAGCAGCGTCCGCTTGACGAATGATAAGTGAAGCGATAGTGAGGCGATTGCAGGGCGGCTCGGCAATACTCCTTCTGAGTCACAGTCTTCACCCTTTCAAGGAGCGTCTGATTAGGCGTGGACGTTATGCGAACATCGAATCTCGAGTTCGAAAGGAATCGAAAATGCCGAACCTTATTTGGGATAGAATTAGAAAAGATATAAACGTTTGAACCCCGCTAAATTTTGAGTCGAGAAGTTCGGAAATGTCAGGGTTTCTGAAAGGTCAACTTCAAACATTTCGAAACTGTTACTTACAAATAAATAAAATGTAGATATTTGAAAATTTCCTATTTTCTTAAGAATTAAAGCTAAAAAAAAGACATTTATTGCTTTTTCTTTATTTTTTTATGCAGTGGTGACTGGATTTTTGTTTCGTATTCCCTCTCCTTTGCAATGTCTCGGCGTTCCTTTTCAGACATTCAGTAACCCTCAGACACCATAAATTCTCAAAAATCGGAGCTCACTAGGGAAAAGTGTCGCGGCTTACTCGCTGGTACACTCGAATAGCTACGGCTAGGGTGCCTACATGTGCCTACAGCGGCGGAAATATGTAGGCACCCTAGCTACGGCAGCTGCGAGAGTGATCACAGTCACAAAATAAGTTGGGGGACTAGTTGGCTGATTATCATAAATATATTAGCGCTAATGTTTTTATGACTGCAGTCCTGCGGTTACGGCATGGTCATAATAAATATAAGTTTGATACTGTCAACTTTCGTAGCGCATTACACACTACGCTTATATAATATTGTTAGGCTGAATGTAAAAGGTTTAATGTGGTGAGTACGCGCTGAAGTTCCGATTGGAACTGACTCTGTGAGCCCGCATCAGGCATGATGATCAGGTTGATGGTGTTGATGATGGGGTGGTTTATGTAGATGAAGACGATATTAATCTTCGGCGTACCACTTTTCCCCTCCTTGTATAAGACGACCGCATGAAAGTTTAAGGGTGTCACGGAACTTCGATGGGAAGATAGTACATTTCAAGCCGCCTGATCTGAACTATCTCGCGGCCACGACGTGGTCCACAGACGTGTCAAAAGGCTCAATTACGTGGTTCATCCGGAATGTCTAGAATAACACATGGTAAGGTCCATGCAATTTATAGAGGAGCTTGGAAGAGATGCCCACTTCTCGCTGTGGGATCCACAATCACATTCTCCTGAGCTAAAACTGGCTGGGTGGTGATCGGCGTCATAGCGTCGCTTCTGTTGAGACAGAGCTCGCGATTTTCATACGTGTAATTCGCCGACACTCTTTGACATAGGAGGACATTTCGGAAAGCGACTGATTTTCAGTTGCGTCAAAGCGGTAGGGTAAAATGGTGGGAAAGGTGGAAGAGGCTTCCCTGCCGAATAGAAGAAAAAATGGCAAAATGGTAGTCGTGGCCTGGATGCTAGCATTATAGACTAGGATGCTAGAATAATAGGCTTGTCATGGTTGGTTTGATTTGCGTTCGTGTACTTAGAAATCCTATAAACAAGTGTTCTTCTTAGCCTTTTGGTTAGGCCGTGCATCTGTGGATGATGCACAGAGGTAGTAGAATGGATTGTATTGCAAGGTGTCAGGGGTTGTTGAACTAGTCATGAAAGAAGCACCCGCCCACGGTCGCTTAGAAGTGCCTTTGACGTCGTCCATGACAGAACAATAAATGAACTGAATAAAACGCGGCCACCTTTTACGAAGTCGTATTTGGCATTGGGGCATATCGTGCGAGATGGTCCATTGCAACTTCAGAGATTTCCGGAAGAGGAAGTATGCAAGGGCTCTATCAGATCAATGCCAACTTCTTAATAGGGCCGCAATGGACAGGGCAGCGGTTGTAATAACCGAAATGGCGTTTGCGGTGGACGCTTCGTCTTTGGCATTTGGCGCAAGGTTGTAGGCAGCGTCGCACTCTTTAGTTAGAGTCCGGGTCAAAATTATCTCTGGGAAATCTGTGTGTAGATTTTAGCGAAGCCAGCATGACTACACATTGGGTCAGAATTAAGTGAGCTAAACACTTCGACACGGAGTTGTTGAGGGATATGAGGCAGGCAGCGTTGACCCCAGAGGGGGGGGGGGGGGGGGGGGGGAGGGGGAGGGGGAGGGGGGGAGGGGGGAGGTTGCTTCATCTGTAGACGAGGCCAGTTTGCAGACAAAAATGTCGAGCTTTTCTGAGGAACTCTCAACCCTATATACATGCATTGGAGCCGTTGTTCCATGGCTTTGTGGCGATAGCCACTGAGAAAAGAAGAAGAAGATCACGTCCGGGTCACCAATGTAGAGAAAGACAGACGAAAAGCGACTACGTCTGACGCATTCCAAAATCGAACTGATCTCCTCGTTTTTATTTGCACGCGATCTTCTTCTTCAAAGCGCTCCTTCAAACTACGAAGGGTACAACAGCCACTGTTGACTGGTCTGACGCTGCAGACAACGCTTTCACTACCATCAAGGAGCGTATCGCTTCTGTTACCCTCTTAGTTCATCCAGAGCACGACGCCCCCACGAGCGTGATGATTGATGCCTCTGGATACGCAGTAGGAGGGGTGCTGCAACAACGCATCAACAACGAGTGGCTCCCGCTTGGTTTCTTCTCCAAGAAACTTACACCAACCGAGCAACGATATAGTGCCTTCGGCCGTGAACTCCTCGCGGCTTACCTTACCATCAAGCACTTCAGATTCTTCCTGGAAGGACGATCGTTTGTGATCTTTACAGATCACAAGCCACTAACCAATGCCTTCAGATCATCTAAGGCCACATACTCTCCGAGAGAGACGCGACACTTGGCATTCCTAGCTGAAGTTTCTACCGACATTCAGCATATCAAGGGCGTCCACAACATCCCCGCCGACACCCTCAGCCGCGTCTCCGCAGTTCAGTACCGCGGGTGTGACCTTAGACAACTCCCTGCTCTACAGGAGAGTGACGAAGAGCTCCGCAACCTTCGCTCTTCCCCAACCTCCTCTCTCCATCTTGAGGACGTTTACTTCTCCGACTTGGGCACAAACATCGTTTGCGACGTCGACCCGGCGACCGGACGGAAACGGCCTTATCTGCCCTTACCACTTCGGCGTCGGATCTTCAACAACCTTCATGCACTCTCACACCCAGGCATCCGCGCTTCTCAAAATCTAATCGCGGAACGATTTGTCTGGCCTGGCATGAACACTGATGTCCGCGCGTGGGCACGAGCATGCATTGCTTGTCAGCAGAGTAAGGTGTCCCGGCACACCATCACGCCTCTGGCAAAGTTTGCACTCCCCGACACGCGCTTTGCCAGCATTCACGTGGACCTCATCGGACCCCTACCGTCATCGCAGGGCTACCGGTACCTCCTAACCGTCATCGACAGGTTCACGCGCTGGCCGGAGGCTTGTCCCATCAAAGACATCACTCCCGAGACTGTCGCCTCTGCGCTTCTGTCCACCTGGATCTCCCGCTTTGGGGTTCCCGCCGAAATCGTGACCGATCGCGGACGCCAATTCGAATCGGCCCTTTTCCGAAGCTTGAAAACTCTTCTTGGCATCGCTCACTTGAAGACCACAGCCTACCACCCGCAGGCAAATGGTTTGGCTGAGCGGTTCCATCGCCATCTCAAGGCCTCCCTCATGGCCCACTCCACACCAGATAAATGGGCCACGTCTCTACCCATCGTCCTCCTAGGGTTGCGCACAGCCATAAAGGAAGACCTCGGATGTGCCGCATCACATCTAGTTTATGGAACATCGCTGCGCCTCCCAGCTGAATTGGTCAGCCCTACCACTCCGACCCACGGCGGCCCTACGATGACTGCAGGATTGCCTTACGTGGAAGACTTAGCCCGTCTGTTCGGTGACGTGCGCGCTACACCGACGCAGACACGCCAGAGCAAGCCTCCTTTCTTCCATCGCGACCTGCACAACAGTGGCTACGTGTTTTTGCGCGTCGACAGCGTCCGCCGTTCGCTCCAGCAACCTTAATTACACTGGTCCCCACCTCGTCGTGGCAGGTGGCGAAAAAACATTCACGCTGCGAGTTAATGGCCGCGACACGGTCGTGTCCGTTGACCGCCTCAAGCCAGCATTTGTTGAGAGCGATACGATCGCTCAGCCGACCGATCTTCCCAGCGTGCAACCCACCTCGAGCTGAACAGTAGCACACGCGACCCGCATCAAACACTCCAGGACAGTTCACTGGGACGACTCCGTCTCCAAAGGGGGGCTATGTGGCGATAGCCACTGAGAGAAGAAGAAGAAGATCGCGTGCAAATAAAAACGAGGAGATCAGTTCGATTTTGGAATGCGTCAGACGTAGTCGCTTTTCGTCTGTCTTTCTCTACAGCTTCATGCTTAGCGACTCAAGAGAAATTGGGTCTTCATCCAATGCATATGGCTTGGTGATTTTTCGGCGAGAGGACAACGATACAAACCGTCGGCGTCACTGCAGTTCTTTTCCCATTTGTATTCAACTCTGTTGCCGAACTCTTAGAGACGCAGCGCCAATCGTCCGACGCGACCAAAAGAATCTTTAAGCGAAGTGAGCCAACGAAGGTAGAGGTGATTGGTGATTACCACAAAATGTCGTACGTAGGGTCGAAATTTCGCTATGACTAAGACAATGGCAAGACCTTTTTTGTGGTGGAATAATCTTTCATTTTTTGGTGAGTGTGCGAGTAGCGCATGCTAAGCTTAGCTGCTATACCCTTCTTTTTGTTGAGCGAGAAAAGCACCTAAACCAAATCCACTAGCGTTGGTGTGGGGTTTTGTTTGTGCGGAGTTATTAAAGTGTCGTAAAATGGGAGCCGACATTAATAATCACTTTAGTTTTTTCAAAGGACTGTTCACATTCGGTAAACCAGTTAAAAGGTGTGCTCTTGTAGTGGAGTTTGTTGGAGGGGTTTGCCGAGACAGGCAAGTCCCCGAAAAAACCTTCGCAAATAAGAGCAGAGTCCTAGAATCCTACGGGCATCACAAATATTATGAGGACTTTTACCTCTTTATGGACGATGTGACCGAGATCTCAAATAAATCTACCGTCAAAATGGCTTTTCTTATGCTC